CCTATGCTTTGTTACATTTTATATTCACATACTTTCAATCTTCTGTTACATTCCTTCTCATTTACAATAAATTGCAAAAAGCCCATACAACATTCTATAAGCATATAAACCTTTATACAAATTATAATTCTTTTCCACCTATTCCCATCCTATTCCACTAGTTCTATACATAAATCATAAAAATATCCATCCATCCATTCCATTCCTCTTAACTCTCTAATTTTATCTATTTTCCTATCCATTCCATCCATTTCTGTTCTATTCTGTTTATTCCTTACGTTTCTGGGTTTTTTTCATAAAAACAAAACTGGACTTTTATTTCTCTACTTTCTACCCTGTTCTATTTCCTACTCTAACTCTTCCACCCTACTATCTACAGAGGCTTCTACTACCATGGCTAAGAAGTTGATACCCTGCCTCAGAGTCATGATCTTTGTATCAAACTCATTCTTCATTATCATTAGCTGCAACTCTAAGTCATTCAGCTCCTTAGTCATCTGTGAGTGGAGGTTGCAGACTGTTCTAGCTTTACTACACATGATTGGAGGGATGACAGAACACAGGTTCTGAGTTGTACTGTACAATTCTATAGTTTGCCCCCTAGTCTTATGCTGGATTCCCTTTAGACTATATTCAGAGTGGTAGAATATGTATACTGTACACTGGTTTTCTACACAAACAATCACCATTGACACAGTCAAAAATAAGATTGAAATGGACTTACTCAGATTACTATAGTACAGCCAATCCATTACAGTCTAGCAAGTGGATCCCTGAGGACCCTTGTGCCTCTCTGCACACTTCACACACTTGGGTGTGTGGAAGACCATTCCCTCCACCCAATCCAGAGGGATATCCTTGTCCTCCTTACTTGAAGACTCCACCATAACCTTCTGGTTTTTTGCACACATTTCCTTACTAGAGACCAGAATCTCCACCTCTACAATAGTGTGCTTCTTGCTCAGGAGCACCAGTACTGGCTCTAGACAACAAAATGGAGTCAGTATACTCAGAAAATCAACTACCCCTCATCCACATTACCTTTTTCCTTGCTTTTGTCCTCTTTCTTCTTTTCTGGCTTTGTAACCACTTGAGGAACTAGGAGAAACATTGTATTAGCTTGGCATGATTTGTTAGCCATACTTGTACTTACTGACTATGACTCGTTTCTCCTTCCCATCCCTTCTTGCATCAACCTTCTCTTTCTCTACAACTAGCTTTTTCTTTTCCAGTTTTGCAACTTCTTCAGGAACTAGGTAAAGACAACATTAGTAGTGTACAATTTGTTAGCCATACATTTAATTCATACCTAGCTTGTTCCCCTTTTCTACTACCACCTTTGACCTTTCTGTGTTTGCAACAGCATCAGAACCTGTGTAAACAGTTAGTTATTACACACAATTTGTTAGCTATACTTGCACACATACCTTTGGACCCCTCCTTTTCCTTCCTATCCTTCTACTTTGTTGCTGACTACACTAAGGCTATAGCCTTCTCCTTCTCCTTCTCCTTCTCCCTCTCTTTCTCCTTCTCCTTCTCCTTCTCCTTCTCCTTTCCCCTCTCCTTCTCCTTCTTCACCTTAGCCTGAGCCTCTTCCTTAACCTTAGCCTGTGTTACTTTCTCAGCCTCTGCCTTTACTTTAGCCCTAACAGCAGCTTTGTCCTCCTTTGCTTTTGCAAGCTCCTCCACTGTTACCTTACAATCTACAAGATGTTCTGTGTCAGTAGACAGATTGGAAATCAGGAAATAGGAGACTTACTGCTAGATTGACCCTCTACTAGCACAGACAAAACCTCCTCACCCTCCAAATTGTTGTCATTGTGAGCATTATTGTCTGAGCTCTCTTTGTCTTCAGACTCAGGATCTGTAGTCAATCCCTTGGTTTCCTCCTTTACAACCTTGTCCTCTGGTTCGTTTTCTGTATCAGAACCTGTAGAGCACATCAGCATATGAGCCAGAGACAATGTGCTTCACAGAGGTACTCACCAAGTATACATTCAACTAGCTCATCATCCACATCCATTCCCTCACTAGCTACTACATTGTTGCACACACAATTTCTGAGGAAAATCACAAAATCAGTATAAAAAGAGTGGAAAAGGGTGCAACACTTACTGTCAGATTTGCTAGGGAGTGGTAATGACATGGCAAGAGTGATGGAAGGAAGCAGGAAGAATAAGTAACAATGTTCACACACACACAGAACTTACATTCAGCCTACCAATCATTAAATCAACCATGTGACTGCAGACAGTCACAAGCAGACACACTAGGAGATGAAACAATTGGCATCACACTAAGAACCATACATCACATACAGACAATCACAGCAATCAATTCCAAACACCCACATGACTCATAGAAGCCTACTCCAAGAACACCCAACTATTCCACATTACAAGCATTTGCAAACAGAACTGCAAGAGTGCACAGTCTTAGAATTGGCTTACATACATTGTTTTCTCTACAGGATGTATAGATCATGTACTTATCATAGGCTCAGAACACAAGTTGTGTCACAGTGAGTGGCTCAGCAAACCATTACATCATTATTGCCTGGATCAAAGTACTGTGATCTTCCAATCAGATAGGACATTGGAGTGATCAAAGTGTTGATCTCAGGAGACTGCCAGAAATCTCGGAACTCTCTGCACTTTGTCTGTACTGATCAGATGATAACAGCATGAGAACCTTCTATTTCTTTCAATGTAAATCTTGCTTTTCCCTTTTGCATAACATTTCCTGTAGCTAAAATGCAGACCACTTAAATTTTCCTCATACATTTTCACCCTAGTTTCTTCCAACCTCTAGCAAAAGGTTCTCTTATTTGTTCTTGTATATCTTGTTATTTTTCTTTTGTTCAGTCATGACACTTCCCTGTTAGTACTATGCTTTTCCAGAACTTGGAAAACTATAAATACAGCTACTCATGTACTAGATACAGGGGGAATTCAGATAGTTCACCCATTGATTTAGCTCTTGTCTCTTGTCTCAAAGTCCTCTAGCATAAGGCATAGTTTTAGTCTTTGTCATTTTCTGTATCAGATTGTTCATTGTGTGCTTCACAAAGTGCACTTTCTGTTATTCACATCACTCTTCCAAGGTTGCAACTGTACTAGAAGAACTTGCACCTGTTTGGAACCACTCTAGTCTCCTAAGACTTGTGGTTTAGCTCCCCCTCAAACTTAACAAATCACCTGTGATCTTCTCTTAGACACTTCACAGGAGTTTCAGTACTATACTAGCACACTAGCCAACATGTTATACAGATTAACTATTTATTCTTTGTCTGAAAATTTTCAAGTTATTCTTTACTGTTTTCC